GCACTATTTACAATAGCAAAAAGATGGAGACAGTCTAAGTGCCCATCAATGAAAGAATGGATAAACAAACTTTGGTACATACACACAATGGAATATTATGCTACCTTGAAGAATAACAAGGAAGCAGCAAGCCACCGCATAACATGGATGAACCTTGAGAAACTACCCACTCTAAAAGGGAAAAAAAAAATTCTTTGCTCGTTACCAGTGTGTGCGGGGTGGGGTGAGGGGAGAGAGGAAGGTGGAGCACAGGGTAGGGAATAGACACAGAGTAGTTTGGGTGCTGGGGGGCATATACAAGAAGGGGGAGAGCAATGGAAGAACAAGGCAGATGGGAGATCATTTAGGCAGGTTTGCATGGGCTTACTGGGACAGAGGTAAATAATGATGTATGCTCAACCTTGGAACAACAGGGCTCTGGGATACAGGAATTGAGGCATGGTTTGAATGGGTAAAAGAGGGGAACTAATGTTAAGATGCTTGGCTGTCTTTTGAATCTTGGTTTCCCTTGCCTACTATTGTAAAATAGACACTTGAAGGGGAGACAAAGGAATAGCCAGAAAATCACCATAGAAAGCTTGTAAGTTCGTCTTCAGCCTATAACTGATTGTTGTTGTTAAGTGCCGTCGAGTCGGTTCCGACCCATAGCCACCCTGAACAGGGTTTCCTAGGCTGTAAATCTTTACGGGAGCAGAAAGCCTCATCTTTCTCCCGTGGAGCAGCTGGTAGTTTCAAACTGCTGACCTTGCGGTTTGCAGCCTGATTTGTAACCACTACGCTACCAGAGCTTCTGATTAGAATACTTAAAATGGAGCTACAACTTGCCCAGTGAAGAAGGCTTCCTGCGGAGACTTTGCATTGCATAAGACCATAGGTGGAATCCTGATCCCTGTCCAGAATCTTCTGAGGTGGGAAATCTCCACTTGAAAGGGCAAGCAGACCAGTCTGGAGTGGCTAGAAGAACAGAAGACACTTCTTGAAAGAAAGGCCAGCAGGAAAAATCAAAAACAATAACGGCAGTCTGATTGATGACTATAAGAACAAGCAAGTTGTTCACGCAGGATCCATCAATCAAGTGGTCGGGTCTCCTCAGGGCAAACCCACTTCCAAGACTGAGACTCAAGGGGGAATACACAAGCAGGCATGTGGTCTTGCTGGCGACCACGTTGGTCTACTGATAAGGGGGGAAAACAGAAATGAAGTTGTGAGCTAAGTCTGACCACGTTCAATAGGCTCCTGTCATCCTGGTTTGAGACCAGCAGTATGGCAAGACCTGGGGACTCCTGGGCCCAGGGACAGGAATATGGCTACAGAGGACTAGAGCAGAGAGTGAAGCGTCCAGCTGATATGAAGTGAGAGGAGATGCACAAGAACACCCATACTTGCTGGATGATCAGAACTTGACTAGAGGAAGAAAGAAGATGGAAAAAAAAAAAAAAAGAGTAATCTGCTATAATTTGATGAAATTGACCTATACTCATGGATGTAGTAGCTCAAAAGAGGGAATAAATCTTTACAGAGAGGATCATTCCAACCCCTCAGTACACAAGGTTGACAGGGATGGGCAAGTTAGACATTGGTTACCAAAAATGGGAGACTACAACGGCACAAAGTGCCTGGCTTTCAAGAGGGAGCCTAGATTCAGAGGGTGTGGAGGAAGGTAGACTCTCCACTGAGTAGTAGTCAATCTGTCTGGGTGGGGCTGATAAAAGGAGATGGGGGATAGGATTCTTGTGGTACAATAGTGAATAATTGTTATCAGGACAGGCTGTGAGGGTTGAAAATGTAAAGATAGACGTTTTGTAACAAAAGGAGGGGAGTGGTTGATTTTGCAGTCCAGGAGCGTAGGATACTGGGACCATCAAGGGAGAAGAATGGAGTATGGGACCCTATCCAGAGAAGCAGTGACGCCAGAGATGGAGGCAGAGACGATGATGTGGAGAGATGGAATAGTTGGGGACTCTGGACTCAGGGAGAGAGAGGGGCTGTGTGGTTATGGCTGGGGGGCAGGCTTGCGGGGTGTACCCTTTGGTTGTTTGATGATGCATGGAGGGGATTGTAATCATTGCAATGAAATGAAATACGATAGGATGAATGTTAAGCTGATGTTCTTACACGTAAACTATCACACAATTCACAATAAAAACTTTAAAAAAACAAACAAAAAATAGAGGTGACCCAACGAAATGCAGAAATCATAGGACAATATCACCAAAATCGCATGTAAGTAAAATTTTGCTAAAAATAATTCAAAAACAGCCACAACTGTACATTGAGAGTGAACTGCCAGAGTTTCAAGCCAGATTTAGACAAGGATGTGGAACGAGAGGTACCATTGCTGATGTCACATGGATGTTGGCCAAAAGTAAAGAATTCCAGAAAGATGTTTATCTGTACTTTTTTAACTATGCAAAGGCTTTTGATTGTGTGGATCATGACAAGCTATGGAAAACATTTGAGGAGAATAAGTATTCCGGAACACTTAATTGTGCTGATGAGGAATCTGTACATAGACCAAGAAGTAGTTGTTCGAACAGAACAAGGGAACACTCAGTGGTTTTAAATCAGGAAAGATGTGTTCCATGGTTGTACTCTTTCACCATACTTATTCAATCTGTATGCTGAACAAATAATCTGAGACGCTGGACTATATGGAAAAAAATGTGGCATCATGATTTGAGGAAGACTCATTAACAACCTGCAATATGCAGGTTCTTCACTTGCTGAAAGTGAAGAGAATTTTAAATACTTACTGAATAAGATCAACAACCACAAAGACCACCTTCAGTATGGGTTCACCTTGATGTAAAGAAAACAAAAATCATAACCACTTAACCAATAAACAATGTCCTTGTAAATGGAGAAAACATTGACGTTGTCAAAGACTTGGTTCTGCTCAGATAAACCATCAACACTCATGGAAACAGCAATCAAGAGATCAAACGTATTGCATTAGGCAAATTTGCTGCACAAGACCTCTTTAAAGTGTTCAAGAGCAAAGATGTCAGTTTGAGGACTAAAGTGCACCTGACCCAACCCATGGTTTTTTCAATAATCTCATATACATGTGAAAATTGGACAGTGAATAAGGAAGCCCATAGAAGAGTTAATGCATTTGAGTTACGGTGTTGGAGAAGAATATTAAAAACCCTGTGGACTGCCGAAAGAACAAACTAATCTGTTTTGGAAGAAGTACAGCCAGAATGTTCTGATCCTTAGAAGCCAGAATGGCCAAAATTTCTCTTTCATACTTGGGACATATTATCAGAATGGACTGGTCCCTGAAGAAAGATGTCATATTTGATAAAGTAGAGTTTCAGAGAAGAAAAGGAAGATATTCAGCAAGGTGGATTGGCACAGTGGCTGGAACAATAGGCTCAAACGCAGCAATGATTGTATGGTTGGCGCAGGGCCGGGCAGTGTTTCATTCTGTTGTGCTATGAGTTGAAATGAGTTGGTGCCAACTGGATGGCACCTAACAGCAACAATAATAAGCAGCTTTCATATTTATTGTGTCTGTTTTCTTCCAGGTGGATTTGTGGGTGCTGACAAAATTATGCAAAATAATTTGATTATTACAACCTAGGAAAATAAAAACTAGTTGTGTTTTGAGTTTATCATTTCCTTGACCATTCATAAACATGCACCTTTTGGCACACAAACCAACATGATAATGAAGGATATGTGTCTTGGCTACTCAGTGAGTCAATGTTAGTTTTAGTTTAGAGTTTTTTTTTAATTTTTAGTCAATTCTACAAAAATCTTGGCTGAGAGAAAAAATGCAAGTGACAGGTAATACCTTACAAAATAATTTTGGGGCCATTCGTGATATTGTTGTTGTTAAGTGCCGTCAAGTCGATTACAACCCATAGCAACCCTGTATAGGGTTTCCGAGGAGCAGTTGGTGAGCTTGAACCACCTACCTTGCAGTTCAAATGGCTTTACGATCTGATGCATTAATCCACTGCGCCACACCAAGACTCGTTATTTATGATAGACAGTGTTAATATTACTGGAAATAAATCATCAGTGATGGACAGAATGACATGCCGTTTACAAAGCATTCTTTTTCAAAGAAAGCACACATAAGATCATTTGAGCTGTTGTTTCAGATGATAAAGTAAAATCAGGTGATAAAGCATTTGAGCTGAAATATACAAATGGACTGTGACACAGATAAATTAGTCACAATTGTCCACCACAGAGCAACTTCACAATATCAGTTAGCAATGCTCCCTTAAAGTCAGCCCTCAAGTGTCTGCAAGTAGGAGCATAATTCTATGGTTACAATCGACCAAGAAGTATCAAGCCAGCCCGTTAAACCCAGTCAAACCCACATCTCCCTGTAGTTTTATAGGGATTAGCATCACATGATGCAAATACTGCTTCCTAACATGCAATATGATACTGCTACTTCTAATGTGGCACTGTAGGATAAGCACTGGACTGCCAACCACAAAGTCAGCGGTTCAAACCCACCAGTCGCTCCTTGTAAACCCCTTGCAAGGTCGTCGCTATGAGTAGGAACCAATTCGACCACATCAACAACTGTGCAAACAGAAAATAAAGTGTGAGCCCTGTTCTTCAACACCAATGAAATGGAAGCTTTAAGAAACACTGTGTTCTGTGTGACCCAACAATTGCAGCATAAAATAGATACCTTGTAACAGAACATTTTTTAAAGTTAAAAGAAAAGTGAGAATTAGGGTTTGGGAAATAAACTATTATAAAGAGAAATAAGAAGAAAAGGATCAGGGTTTCTTAGAAGAACTTGCACAGCACGGTGGCTGAAGAGGCTCCCTGCGGCAGGCAGCCATTGCCATGGAAACCAGAGCGCCTGGGGTTGGGGATTGTGACACCAGGTCAAGACCAGTCAATCTTCAGTGCTCCAGGCCCCGCCCAAGACTTCAAGCTGTGGCTGCTTCCTGAACAAACGCGCCTGCTCGCGGGAGTGGTGTCTGAACAGACCTGTCCTGATAGTCCTGAGATTTGCTGTCAAGATGATGAAACCCCAGCAGCCCTTAGTCCAAGGCCTGTCTAGAATCACCAGCAACCTGTACATCAGCAGCGTCTTGGCAGCTAACAACAAGTTTTTGTTATCCATCAACCATATCACCTCAATCATCAACGTATCCGTGGAGGTAGAGAACATCTACTACGAAGAGATCCAATATGTGCGTGTTCCTGTAGCTGACACACCCAGCTCCAACCTCTTCGACTACTTTGATCCCATTGCCGACCACATCCACGGCGTGGCGATGAGACACGGCCGCACACTGATACACTGCGTCGCCGGAGTGGGCCGCTCAGCGGCCTTTTGTATTGCCTACGTCATGAAATACCACTCCATGTCACTACTGGATGCCCACATCTGGACCAAGTCTTGCCGACCCGCCATCCACCTCAGAAACAGTTTCTGGGAACAACTGATCATCTATGAGTACAAACTGTTTAGCCAGAACACTGTGCACATGCTCAGCTCATCAATGGGTATGATTCATGATGTCTACAAGGAAGAAGCCCATTAATGTCAGAGTGAATGATTCCGGACTGCAACATCTGCCATTGCCCCAATTCCAAGAAGAAACTTGTATGTTCTACTGTTGTCCATAGAAAACAGCAGACATTATTTGTAAGGGCAAGAACAAGGGGTGAGGCTGTTGCAGTTTGTTATTAATCTTTAAAAAGTATAAAATGCGTTAAACGTAAAATGGTGAAAATACTTCTTACCCTGTGAGTGGAAGTTCATGGCGCCTAAAACGTGGCCAGGGAGGAGAGTGAGGCTGGTGATGTCCAACTCTGATGGACATGCCAGCAGGTCCAATACATGTGGCAGGCCTGGAAACCTGCAGCCCTCTCCCAGAGACCCACTAATCTGAGTGAGTTCTCAGAATCCCATCTAGTTCTATAGATTCCAAATACAAAGCCTTAGGCATCCTGGCACTTCTGTGCTTCTTATAGTGTTGTTGTTAAGTGCTATCAAGTCTGTTCTGACTCATGGCAATCCTATGCACAACAGAACGAAACAGTTCCCTGTCCTGCGCCATCCTCATAATCACTGTTACATTTGAGCCCATTGCTGCTGCCACTGTGCCATTCCATTGCATTGGGGCCTTCCTCTTTTTCGCTTATTATAGTAAATGCCCATTTCTTGGATAAGTGACCTTAAAGAAATGCTCTAGGAGCCCTGTTAGAGCCTCAGGCCACCTCAGTCTCCAAGTTCAAACACAGAGGCCCAACTCTGTTCTCTAGATTGGGCTTATGCATAGTTCTTAAAGAAAGCATTCCACTGTATAAAATTAATGTTTTAAAAAATACTTTGTTCAGTGCTGTTCTAGATGGCAAGGGCTTAAGGTGTCCCACCAGCCTTTGATGAAAAGTATTAGTCCCCTTCTGCAGGGTGCATGCTGAGTGGTAGCTGACCTAAAGCCAGGTCTCCGGGGTTTCTCTGATAGGCCTTGGTTCTAAAGGTTGGAGATGCTGGCCAGCAACCAACCCTGTCACCTCTCTCGCCTCTTCCCCATGTAACCTGGGTCCCCTCAGAGCCTCAGTTTCCTCATTTCTCAAAAACAATACCTGTGCTTTTCTCTCAGGATGGTTGTGAAGATTAAAAGATTAATTAGCCTAGCACATGGCACATGCTTAGTATAAATGTTACTGTTGTTATTAAGTGCCATCAAGTTGGTTCTGACTCATAGTGACCATGTATATGGTTTCCCAGGAGCAGCTAGTGAGTTTGAACTGCTGACCTTGTGGCTCAAACCAACCTTGTGGTCAAGTGCTTATCCTACAGTGCTACACCAGGACTCCAGTAGCTGTGATCATTAATGATACCCTATGGAGTCCTGGTGTGGCGCTGTGGGTTAATGCGCCAGACTGTAAAGCTGTTTGAACTGCAAGATTGGTGGTTCAAGCTCACCAGCTGCTCCTTGGAAACCCTATACAGGGTCGCTATGGGTCAGAATCGACTCGACGGCACTTAACAAAACAACATGACCCTACTGGTCAGGCGTCAGCACCCTCTTTCTTCTAACAGCATTTCCTCTCTGTGAATTTTGTTGTTGTTGTTAGGTGCCATCCAGTCGGTATCTACTCATAGCGACCCTATGCACAACAGAACAAAACACTGCCCAGTCCTGGGCCAACCTCACAATTGTTGCCACGCTCGAGCCCATTGATGCTGCCACTTTGCCAATCCATCTTGCTGGGGGTCTTCCTCTTTTTCTCTGACCCTCTACCTTACCAAACATGATATCATTCTCCAGCATCTGGTCCTTCCTGACAATATGTCTGAAGTACGAGAGACGAAGTTTGGCCATCCTGGCCTCCAAGGAGCATTCCAGCTGCACCTATTCCAACACAGATCTGTTTGTTCTTTTGGCAGCCCATGGCGCTTTCAATATTCTCCTCCAACACCATAACTCAAAAGCATCAATGCTTCTATGGTCTTCCTTATTCACTGTACAACTTTCACATGCATATGAGGTTATTGAAAATACCATGGCTTGGGTCAGGTGCACCTTAGTCCTCAAGCTGACATCTTTGCTCTTCAACACTTGAAAAAGGTCTTGCGCAGCAGATTTGCCTAATGCAATATGTCTCTGTGCATAGGTCTTTATAATTTGCAAAGTGCCCTTTAAAAAAAATAATAACCCTTTGCATTAAAAAAGAAAGAAAGAAAATGGTTTAAGGCCTTTTCAGTTGTCATTGCAGAAGAGGACTAGATTTTTAAAAATTGCTTCAGAGATCTCTGTTGTGGCGGTGCTATAGAATAAGCACTTGATTACAAAGTCAGTTTGAACCACAAGGTTGGCGGTACAAACTTACCAATTGCTCCTTGGAAGCCCTATACAGGGTTGCTATGGGTCAAAAACCCACTCAACAGCACTTAACAACAACCACCACAAAGGGGTCAGGAAGCAAAAAGGACATTTTTTTCAACTCCTCCCAAAGAGCCTTGTTTAGAATCACTGCCTAATAGAGTCAGTGTCCTGGTATGGCTTACTGAGGGTACACTTACTGAGGGTACACTTAACAAAGTTACAAATGACGAGACCGCACAAGTAGGCCCTGCAATCCAAGATTGTTCAAACTCAAATGGAGGTATGGGAATCTGGCTTGAGATCAACTATTCTAATGCAGAGGTTTTCAGACAAACAATATATAAAACAAACCAAAGCATAATATTTCCAGTTGATGAAGAACTCTGGATCCAGAGCCTAGTGGAGTTGGAATGCCCTTTCTCTCCAAACTTACCCCAATGCCATTTTTACAAAGGGAGTGATCAGGGGCAATTAGGAGTGGAGAATGAAAATTACTGCTACACACTGATCCTTTCATTTTCAGACTGAGAAACAGACCCACAGAGCTTAAGGACTGGTATGGCAGAGCCCCCATAAAATAGCCTTTCTGGCAGAAACCTAAGTGGAAAAATTCTTTTAAAGCATTTTTTAAAAAACAAATTTATTTGGTATTACGTGTATACACCCACACATATGTATATATACATACATGTATATGTGTATATATATATATAATGTGTGTGTATGTATATTTGTTGTTATTGTTAAGTGTCATTGAGTTGACTAGGACTCATAGTGACCCTGTCTAGAGTTACTGAGGAGTGGCTGGTGAGTTTGAACCACCAACCTTGCAGTTCAAACAGACCTTGAGGTCAAATGCTTATCCTATAGCTCCATACCAAGACTCCATATAAACATTCTTTTTGGAGATATAGTTCTACAAGTTTTACTACATGTACTGAACCCTAGTGGCATGATTAAGTGTTTGGTTACTAACCGAAAGGTCAGTGGTTCAAACCCACCAGCTGCTCCATGAAATAAAGATGTGACAGACTGGTTTCATAAAGATTGGAAGCCCAATGAGCAATTCTACTCTGTCTTATAGGGATACTTTGAGTTGAAATCAACTCTATGGCAATGGGTTGGATTTCATAGATCCATGTAACCACCACCACAATCAGGACACAGTAGTTCAATCATGTCTCCAAAATCCCTCATGCTTTCCTTTTGTAGTCAAATTTTCGGCCCACTACAACCTCTGGCAAACACTAATCTGTTCTCAGTCCCAATAGATTTTCTCTTTCCAGAATGTCACACATAGGAAATCATCCAGGATGTAACTTCTGGAGACAGATTTCTTTCACTCAGCATAATGTCTTTGAGATTCATCCATGTTGTTGCTTTTTATGGCTGAGTAGTATTCCATTGTGTGGCTAGACCATAGCTTGTTTTACATTTATCCACTGAAGAACATTTGGATTGTTTACAATATGGGGCAATTTTAAATAAAGCTGCTATAAATTTGAGTCAATGGTGGGAGAATCCTCTAATGATCCTTGCCTCAATCATGGATTACATTGGGGAATATCTAAATCTTCACTCTATCTTAAATTAATTTTGGTATATTGTATAAATTTAGTTACTTAGTTTTTTTTAAATGTTTTTGAGATGTTACTACATGTAATAGTTAGGGTTCTGTGTCAATTCAACTAGGTCAGAATTTCCAGAGGTTTAGCAGTTGGGATGTATTTATTCCCATGGTGATGAAATCTAATACAGACATCGTTAGCTCTATGATGAGTGGCTATGAGCGGTCAATCAATTAAAGAGATGCTTCCTTGAGGGTGTGGCCTGCTCCCAATATTATGGACACATGGGAGGGACTTTCTTCTACTGGGGACCTGGGACAGTTGTAAGATAATAAACTTCTCTTTATATATAAAAATATTTATGTTTCACTGGTTTTGTTTCTCTAGAAAACCTAGCCTAAAATACCATATCACCGTAAATACTTATGAGGAGGCTTCAAAAACTTCAGGGGAAAATGGGATTATTCCCCTGAACTTTTTGGGTATGTATGTTTTTATTCATTTTTGTTTGTGACATGTCTTTTTTAAATTTTTGTTGTGAATTGAGTGAAGGTTTAAAGAGCAGGTGGTCATCAGTTGTACCTTCAAATCACCCACTTAATTTCATCTCAATTATTGTAATCCCCTCAATTTAACATCGCTTATCCCATTTCCTCTCTGCTTCTTGTTTTCATGCCCTCTTTTTTTTTTTTTTTTT